TAGGTTTTTAACGATGTTCATCGATAATGTGGTATTCAATCTTACACAATCTTCAAATAATTTTAGATACACTGAATCAATTAAAAAATTTGCCATATGCTTATATATTTTCGGTGGTAAACAATGCTATGAGTTCGTTCGTTTAAATATGCCTGGTAGTATACTGCATTTGTCAACACTTGGTGATTTAATTAATAAATCGAATATGACTTTAACTGAAGCAGAATTAAAATTTGACTCACTTCAAAAGTTTCAATCAGGTTTTGGATTTTGTTCTGAAGGTACTACTAGTGTCATTCCTAAAGTTGAATACGATTCGTCGACAAACTCATTCATTGGATTTACAACACCAATTGTTGATGGTATTTCATTGACGAAACATTATCAAGCTGATACATTTGATGATTTTAAAATCATTTATAGTACCAATGAAACAGCATCATTATTGAATGTGCATATGTTCCAAAGTATATCAACAGAAGATGATCCAACAAATTTTCTGAAACAAGTTTTACTCTCTGTTTATGGTGTTGACAACAAATTTACAGCTATGGATATTTTACAACGATGGATGTATATTTTTGAACGTTGTTTAGATAAAAATGTTCGGATTATCGGATTTTCTACAGGTAAATTTTATTTATACAATGTTCCTCTCAAATGTATCTTAATTGTAAATAGATGCAGATAACAAATACATAAGTGCCATGCATCTTGCCAGTAATTTCTTCGCGTCGTTACCCAATTTCAAATTAGACAAGCATCAACATGCATTTAAAATAGATATACCGAATGACTGAACTTGGTTTTTTCTTAGTAGAAATCAACTCTTTTTGTTTTTTCAAGATCCGGTACATATCGTTACCAAATAGCGTAATCGATTGTTATCATCAACAGCGGATTTATATATTGGGAACGATAAAATTAGTATGGCACATAGAGAACAACTAATCGATAACAATAGTTATACAAAATTAGATCATGGTTTGACGAAAAGTGATATTAATCCTAAAGATCGCACAAAATAATAATTCATGTATTAAGTTAATATCAGACGATGTAATAAATCTTCTT